GCTTGTGAAGCTAGTGGGCTTTGACCTCTTGTAGAGACAGTACACATTCATACCACCCATTCCTTGATGTTACCTGCCTCTTTATCACACACCTAAGCATTGCCAGCACCATCTAAGGCTCCTGTGTTGTGGTTACCTCACTTTCTTTGAAGCAGTTTAGTGTTAAATGCTGAGCCAGGGAGCTGGAGAAAGCTAGTGAAGCAGATGACAGAATATGAAAAGGTTATTTAGTGAATTTTTTCCAATTTGTTATACCTTATCTTGGCCATAGAGGCCAGGCTTGCAACTGTGCTTGCAAGAGCCTCGGATGCACTGGTGCTTAGAGAGACGTATTTTCAGGGTGAACTCCTCCCAGTGGAGAAGACGTGTACTTGGAGCTTGCAGAGAGGCTCTTCAGGATCCCCTTTTCATGCCACTGCATGAATTTTGCAGCCCACCACTGCTGCAAAGGATGATGCTTCCAGCCGTGCTTCTGCCCTCATCCGCCACTGCTGGCACCTCTGCTGTCTGTGGCAGCGGCTGGGATTCCTCGGCTGGCATTTCTTTTATTGACAGCTGTGCCAGAAGTGCAGATTCTTGGCCTGCTCCCTAGTGTGCCAAGGCAGATTGGCTTAATCAGACCATAGTAAACCTGTTGTTATGTTTCACGCTTCACTGGACTTGCCTGTTGTAGCTGCTTGGATTGCACCCCTGCTGCTTGTTTGGCTCTCAGCCAGAACCCAGGAATGGGAAGTCAAGTTAATTCACAGCAGTGAATGTAACATTAATCTTACCTTTCACTTTTTAGGTATACACTTAGGAAATAAGCGATAGATTTCCTTTCCTTTAAAGATGAAGCTTCTTAGAGAGGAGGAATTGCGAGTCTCTTGAGTTGTCATTGAACCATCCTATTTCTCAGCACAAACCCAGGGCACATAACCCCTCATAATGAGTGTGCTGGGGCCACACTGAGACTGGGCAGGGTTTGAAGACCAGCACTGATGAAGCTTCATTTTAGACCATGCTTGGCTGGTCCACATCTCAAATTATTTCATAGTTGCCTCATTGTTGGGTACGTATGTTCAAGGATGGAGGGTTGGTTTCTTTGGCTTACTTGCAGCTATGATCATGCTTGACTCATGGGTGCTGGGTGAATTTTTGAGGGAATGCTCTGTGCTTGCCATCACCCCAAACTTGCTAGGGAGTTGCAGGTGTCCCCATCTCTTGCCACCTGGCTAGCTGACAGTGCTTCATTATATCTGTAATGGGTGTTCTCATCTTCCTTTCAGCGTTGCTCTCAGGCTGATGAGACTGGGGAATAATGTGCTCTGATGAGTTGGAGGCAGCCAGCCCAGGCAAGTTTCTGACAGTAACAGAAGGTCTTGTGCTGCCCTGCCAGCAGCTTCAGCAGCACAAAGCAAAGGCTGTGTGCTCAAGCCATCCATTTGTGGGTTTGTAAGAGCAGCTTAATGGGAGTGCATATGCGGTCAGTTGGCTTCTTCAGCAGTGCATGCATGAATCCAAACATGTGAATCAAACCTTGGGCTTGCTGCTGCCACACCAGTTGCTCCATGCTGTGTCCTCTGTGAGATGGGGGCACCATGGAAGCCCAGACACTTGGGAGCTTCCAGCATCCAAGAGGTTAATAACCATCCTGCTTCCTTCTCTCTATAGTGGATCTTGATGGGATAATTATCACTGTTTAAAGGTATTCATGTCTAGGCTCTTCAACTTGGGGCATTGTCTCCACTTGCTTTTGTCCCTCTGTGCAGACAGGGTGGGTGGTGGTTTGGTGCAGCCTCAGGCCTGGTGCTGCTTGGCTGTATTAAGAGTGGTGCTGGATCTGAACTATGCTATTTTGGGTCCTGAGCTGGGAAGTGCAGGTGATGGTACCCTGTGCTGTACCTGCTTCCTCGTCCATGCAGTGAGCTCCAGGTGGCACACGCCGGTCCTGAAGAGCCAAAAATGCTCAGACATGGTCCTTGCTTTATGTCTCTGGCATCCAGCAGCTTTTGGCTGTGGCCTGTAGGAAGAGAGGACCAGAGGAGTTTCTTTATTTTTGCTTGTTTGTTTAACTTTGGAGGCCCATGGACTACTTCAAACAGATCTCTGGAGGAGCAGCTAGAACAACACAAAAGTATATGCACTTGGCCTTTTGAGTCCATGCTTTCTTTAGAAAGTTTTTAGTGGCCTGTCAGTCCAAAAAGGTTAAGCAGTCATTGCTATATTGTAGGACATAATCACTGGAGGAGAGGAGACTTTTTGGGAGTTGTGCAAGACTGTCAAGCGCAGCAGTGTTCTACTACGGCCCTCCCACTTTCTTGCCTGTGTGCCAAGCATGTTTCTGTCAACATATTATTTCACAAACAAATAGAGAAGTGTGTCTGGGTGTGGGTTGAATGGAGTAAAAAACCCTAAAGTCCTCCTCTGTGTGTGTGCTTCTCTGGGGAGGATGTAGGAAAGGTCTGCCGGAACATCGGCAGTGAGCAGCAAGGCAGAGTTCTTGAATAGCATAGGGCACAGAGCAGTGTATGAGCCTGTCCAGAGAGGAGTTGGGAAGGGCAGGGATGCCATAAGCATTTCTTACAGCAGCAATTTTTATGCAAAAATGATGCAGCTCTGAAAAGCTCCCCCTTGTTCCTGTGCTGCCTGCTTTGTCTTACTAGTACAGCTGTTCAGGCAGCTGTGCAGTGGACTTGCTCAGAGACCCATTGCAGTTAAAAATAACACTTCCTCCCCCCCCCCCCCCCTTTTTATTTTTGTAACTGTCAGGAGCAAGTGCTGCTTCTTGAATATGTGGTGGGAAAAGCTCACCCTAGATTTAGACAGACTGTGGCTTTGTACTGAGGTGTTTTTCCTTAGCTCTGAACTGACAGCAGGGCTCAAACCTTCAAGTTGGTTGTCCCCTTCCAGGAGGCCAGATGATGCCTGTTGTAAGCAAAAGGTGGTCGTTCCACAATTGTACTATGTAGCTGAAGTAGTATTAGGGACCACAGAAATAAAGTCTCTATGGGCAAGATCCCCTTGCCCTGTCCCATAGAAAAAGTTCATGACCACCAAGTGCCCTGGGTGTGTCACCTGTAAAGTAGCATTGCTGCCTGCAACTGGGCGGTGGCTTTGCCAGATCTATGGCTGAAGGCGGCATTTGTTTGTTTATATACATATGCCCACTGGAAGTGTTTCAGTGCTATTTAGTGGTTTTTATCCTCTTTCCTTTTTTTAAAAAGAGTTGCAATAAAAAAAAACCCAAACAAACAAAACATAACAAAACCTTAATTGCACCATCCAGAATTGTACTTGCTAAAAGTGAGCCACTGTAGTCTTTGTCCTCATCTCCACCTTGCTGCTTCTCATTCTCCTTCCCTGAAGCACTGCTCTTGCTGTTGGGAGCTTTTGTCATCTCTAAAACACCCTTAAATGCGGAAAGACTCAACAAAAACTCTGTTGAAAATGCTTTATTTTTTTATCATATATCTGACCTCTTACTGTACACAAGTAGAAACTCTTCTAGATATTTTGTGAAGATACCTGAGTGCAGAGGGACATCTCGATGCTTCTCCAGCAGAGCATTTGCGTCAGTGCAAGTAGAGGGAAGGCTTGTTGGACTGTGGCTTGGGAAGATGCGGCTGTCATCTTGTTTCCTTGTATTTTCCACTCTTTGCAGTGATGGAAATGTTTTATCTTCTCTGAACCCTTTTCATAAATGGATTCTTCATAAATTCTTCATGTAGTTTTGGTACATTCTGGGGTGTTTGGGGTTATTTTCACATTCTCTTCTAGGCTGTCACTGTGCTCTGTTAAAGAGAAATCGTAAGCTTCCCTGGGGGGGGTTTCCTAGGGAGCCCACTGGCAGCGTGCTCCCTCTGCAGCTTTGGAAGGACCTTGTAGTTCTCTGCTTTGTGCCTTATGTTCCAGATGGGGCATACTCCCCTCTCAGGTCATGTTGAGCTGCTCAGCTTGTCACATTGAGGGAAACACAAGTGACAGACCACTCCAGTGTAAATTTTTCATTGCATCTGCCTTAAACTCCCCTTGAAGCAGACAGTAGCCCTGTGTATGGCAGATGTGTGGAGCGGGGCCCCATCCTGCAGTCTGGGGGACACAGGGCACAGTTTGTTCTTTGTTCACTGAGAAGTTAATGTGCACCTATCACCAAAAGGCTGAACTAGGTACTGTGCGTGTCCTTCTGTCCCAGTGTATATGTGACTTGTGTTTTGTTGACCTGCTGCCTATCATAACAAGTTAAAAATAAGTACTGGTGTTTTTCTACAGTGTGGGTAGATCATTCCTTTGAAAGTTCAGATGTGAAAGTGATAGGCATTGGCAAAAATCTGCTGCTTTCAGCCTGATGCCAAAGAGAGGTCGTCACCTTCCCGTTCAACTTGTTTCTGGGTTGTTTTCAGCATCTTTTAAGAAGCTGTGCTTATCCCTGCTGTTAATACTGTGGTTGATCCCTTATCTGGGTTCTAGGTACAAATCCAGTATCTGCACTTGAAAAACAGATCAATGAAGCTTACAAAAGACAACTGTAAAATGATGCCTGAGCTGGTAGAAATGCCTTGCAGTGAGATCCTTGGAGTTCAGTGTGCTCCACTCTAGACAGGTGACAGTGTGCATGTGCCTTTGTGCAGAGAAAATACTATTCCTGGACTTTTAACATGGCAAAGAAAGCCATAGTAAGCACAAAGCCTTGTTCTTGGTTTAAGTTGAACACAGTCAGTGCATTGGTATAAGTCTGTGTGGAATACAGGGGTTTTTAATCCAGTGGCAATTCTGGTCTTCAGCTAAAGAAGCAGAGGTGGAGGGGAGAGTGGAGAAGGCTTTTTATGCAAACAGGGATGAAGAAGTATATGCATGCAAAAATAGCCACAAGGAGAGGGAAAACAGACCAAGTCCAGACCTTGGCTGGTAGAAAGTATGTCAGGAATCTCTGCGTATGTATGCTCCCCTGACACAGCTTTTTTGATACTTTCTTTTTTTGGTCCTGATGCTAATTCTCTTGTCTTTGTTTCCCTGTCTAGTGTGTCGAGACTTTGCTATTTTGGAAGATCATACTTTGGCCCACAATTTACAGGAGCAGGAAAGTAAGTAGCAGTGATCTTTGGAACAAACTGAAACATTTTCCCCAACAGATACGTCTTTGGTTTTGTTAAGAAAAATCCTCTTTTCTTTCACTTTTTGCTAAGAAAAACCTTTCTTGCTTTGATTTCATTTTTCTTCTTTTTAATGGAATCCAGATTATTATTACTGTCTTCACTGTCCTGTAACAACACTCTGTTTTGTGTCCCAGCTCATGTTGGCCCCTAGAGATACAACCTCCTGTTGTACCTAGAGAGTTGTATTTCATGTTTTAATTTTGTGCTCTCTTTTGAGATTTGAGTTTGTTTATGCTGTTCATGATAAAACTGCATGTGGGAGTGCACTTGAGGTTTTGTTGCTGTGCACGTTTTTTAGAAACGACTAGCAATTTTGGAACCTTCAAGTTTTATAGACTGATCTGAAATGCAACCAGAAGAGGTCTGTTTATGTACTTATTTTACAATTGCTAGTGCTTGCCTTTTGAAAGAAAGCTTCCTTTTAAGACGCTTTGAGGTAGGGCAGCTCTACATTACAAGGGTTTAAAAAGGAGGAAAAAAAGTACAGCCAGAAACTTAGAAGTGACTGGTGATTTTTACATATTTTCTTTTTTTAACTTGCTTATCTGTTACTTTGGGTTATGTTTGCATTGTAGCTTCTGGTGTGGTGGCCTCTCTAATCTGCTTTGCTGGGTGCCAAGACCATTGGTATCTACCATTGCTAGGTGCTAATACCATTCCAGCTACTCTGCCAAGTGTGTAGCTTGCACTGAAGTTCTGCCCTTGCTGCTGGAACCTGAGAACACTGAATTAAAGATGGCTCTCTCAGCTGCTGCTCACATTGCCATCTTTTCTTGCAGGCAGTATCCATGTATGGTAAAGGATTCACTATAGTACTTGGTTGCTCTGTTACTAAATATAAAGGTAATGAGATTCTGGAAACGATTATGTTGAGAGTAAGAAGAGTTTCTTCCTCCAGAGGGTCTTGAGAACAAATTACCAAAGCATCCATCAGAGGTGGTTTAGGTTCAGCTCATCCTCACTGTCCTCTGGTGGTCCCTTCCAGCCATAATTTACTAATCTAGGATAATTTCCCATGGCCAGAAAATGAGATTCAGAGCCTAAAAAGCATTCCCTCTAAACCTGGATGTGCTGAAAATATGCAGATCTTGTTTTGGTAACACACATATGCAGCCCCCTCAGTGCTAAAATGAGGCAATCTTAAGCTGCTAGTGTAGTTTCAGTTCAGGACTTCCCCACCTTTAGACATACTGCATGTTTCCCTGACAAGAACTGTCTTCCCTTTTGGCCTGGCATCTTCGTCCCACTTGCTTTGTCTCATTCACACCATAAAGTTCTGCCGGTTGATTTGAGGGTTCTTGTCTGTGTTTATTTCCAGTTGAGCATCACTTGGCAACAAATGTTCAGCGTAATCGTCTCGTGCAACATGACTTGCAGGTGGCCAAGCAACTGCAAAAAGAAGAGGATCTGAAAGCACGTGCTCAAATCCAAAAACACCAAAAAGACTTGTGAGTTTGGGATGGAGCTGCTGAAATGCTGGTCCTGTTTGGTCAGAGCACTGAAGTCAGCTGTTCTGAGTTTTGATTGACAGTATGTGGGGTACAGGTTGATCAGCCTTCTGTTTCCTTTTTTCTTTGGCTATCTGTTGCTGTAAAAGTATTGATACTACTAGGCTCTGGCACACAGTAATGAGAACAGGGTTGGGAGTAAGTGGTCCTGGGGCCAATCCTGGCTTAGTTTCTGTTGCCTGACCATGGGAAGGAGCCTTCCTGTACTGCTCCCTGTGGGCAAATGGGGTAACTTGGCCACTTGCATCTGTCTACCTTGTCTATGGCTAAAGTCTGAGAAAGAAGAAATAACACCACAGAAATACACAGTGTTACAGTGAATTCTCTGTCTTGTGAAAATTGCACATATTGGTTTGTTTACACTGTGCTTCTTGAGTGCTTTTGAGGGGCTCATGCTTGCGCTTGTAGATATTCCAGTGTGAAGTGACCTGGGAAGAAGGCTTCTGCCCCAGGGTGGAGATGGGTGTTGGGGTACAGGTCTTCTCCTGCAATCTCTGACTTGTGCAGCAGCTGTGGGAGGATGTTTATGGGTGTTCAGTTTGCTCTGTAGGTTTGCTCAGGCCCCACGCACCAGATCTGACCCTGTGGCCTGAGACTTGGCTTTGTGTGTGCCATGGTTCTTAAGCTGTGGAGGTGGTATAGAAATGAAACAGTGGCAGTGCAGGGCGAAACAAGCTGTGCTTTCCAACCCAGAGTGGATGTTGGTGCTTTTCTTTTCTAATTTTTTGTTTGTTTGGTTTGGTTTTTTTTGTGTGGTTCTTTTTGTGTGTGTGTTTGGTGTGTTTTGCTTCCCCCCAACTTAGTCTCTTGCAATGCAAGAGACAAATGGATCATGTGATAGGGTTCAGTCAGATCCCAGTGATGAGAGATGGGAAGATGCGGCTCCCTGCAAATGGAGGGTCTGCATGGCAGGATGCATCTCCCAGCGGGTGTGCTGCCTCTGGCTTGTGTCGTGCTCTGTGGTGCCACCCACCAGCTGCAGTTGGGTGGCTCATCTGGCAGAGACAGCGATGAAGTAGAAAAGCTCTGTATTGCAGATGTGTGAGATATAGGACTGGCTTCAAAGGAGCTGTTCATAAAAGATCTGAAGTTGGGGCGTGACAGATCAGCCAGTGTTTTAAATGATCCCAGCATGCTCAGGCAGCACTGGGTAGATACATGTGTGTATCTGAAGTCTGTGCTTTCTTTCAATAATTTTGTCTTCATTACCAATTAGAGCTGTGAGCATGTAAGTGATAATATACAAATTAATTTTGCATGGCAGGGATGATTCCTTTGTGTTACTCGCTTGGGAACTGCAAACATTTTCTTTTTGTAGGACTCTGAAGTGCTATTTATGAACTTTGTGGGCCAAGTTACAGGCAGAACTGCTGATGAAAAACGTTGTGTCAGCAGCCGTTCTGCTCCTGAAAGCTTGAGCTCTTCTGCAAGGATAGTAAAAAAAAGTTGGAGGCATCCTTTTGTAATTGGATCTTTTTCTTCCTTAATTCTTTGTACATTCCCACAGTCTTCTTTTGCAAGATCAGCATGTTCTGGCAACAAAATGATTTTTGCTGTTGTTGCTTTCCTTATCATCTAGGACAGTTTGACATTGAAAGGTGATCATAGGATTAAATGGGCAGAACTGGGTGGCCTTTAGAAACAGGGAACATAAAAAAGTTCTTCAAATTTATTGGCTTTCTTTTGTCTTTCAAATCCTAGATTCTCTCAGAAAGACTTTGTGAAGATAAATGAGGGAATAGAAATAACTTTTAGGAATTCAGGGAAGCATCAAACTTTTTTTCATGCTTCTTTAGAAACATCTCTCGCATCTAGATGAGCAATCTGTATGCTGCCAAGCATAGTAGCAAGGTTGCTAAAATAACTGTTGGAAATACCGTGAAAATATGCTCCTTCCTTGTTTCGCTTCCAGTGCTGTGATGGTTCTATTACACTAACATGAGCAGTTCCTTTAAACAGTTCCCTTAAACCTTTTAATTTTTTTTTTTTCAACTCCTCATCTGGCAACTGCTAGTTCCTGCAGCCAATGTGAATGGCTTCTAATCACACTGACTTTTTTCCTCTTTTCCCTAAACTGATGTAGAGGTTCCCTGACACTTTTAACACTCCTGGCTGCCCAGGAACAATGGGCATGTACATAGTAGTGGTGTTCAGGGATGATGATGTTTATGTCGCTCTGGTCAGTTTCTGGGGGCTGATGGGCACTTGAACTCACAATAAAGAAATTGAAGGACAAGAAGAGGACAAGAAGGGCAGTATTTTCTTATGCTCAGTCAAATTGAACCACTAGCTTATGTTGATTAACTAATCAAGTCTCAGCATTTACCACTGAGCAGTAAAACCCAGAATATGATCCCCTGTTGCTGTTCAGTGGTTCTTAGAGATTGATATGGTGTATTCCAAGATGCATACCATCAGGAACAAGCAAATACTTCTGCTTTTGCATTACTTGGAGTATTCTTTGCTGTAAATGAAGAAGTGGCCTTGTTGCCTTGGCTCTGAAAGATGATTAGCTGTTTTTTTTTTATCTCCTGTTTGTCTGCAACAAGATGTATTCTAAGCATTTAGCAAGTCAGTTGGAGCTGATGAACTTGGCACCTTAGCTCAGTTCACAGGTGTTGGGGGAACTGGAGATGTGCAATGCCTTGATATGTCTGACCTTTCTAACTGATTTTTCTACCTGGATACATGTCCTCTGAGACTGGGGTCATAAAGGATTTGCTCTCTTGGGCCCACTGACAGCCTGCTCCTCAGGATTTGCATATTCAGCTATTGTTTTGCTGGGGACTGGTTCCCTGCTGGTGGCAGGTTTGCCAAGGTCCCTTTTTATATGGCAGGTTCAAGAACTAGATTTGCTGCTGCATGAGCTTGTGTGTCTTTGAACAGGCCTTTCTTTTAAGTGAAATACATACAGGAACACACACAAAATGCCAGGTTTTATTACCTGGATAAGAGAACCTGATGTCTGAAGATATTTGACCTATTGATAATTCCAGCCCTACAGACACTGAAATTCCTGAGTGCCTTTCAGGGTGTCTCTAGAGGTGAGTCAGTTTATGGATATGTGTAATTTTTTGTGAGTGTGGTGGTGTGGGAAATGGAAGGAAATGTTGTAACATTGACTTGGGATTCATATGTGCTTGGGGAAGGGTATATAAATAACATGCAGTACCTAGTTTCATGTCTGCTTCCAAGGAGCAGTTGACAGAAATAAAGAAGCTTCTTTTCCTTCCTGCTGCATGTTGCTTGTTGTTACCTATGACAAATTAGTTGTCTCTTAGTGGCATTTGTTCTGTAAACCCTCTTCTTGTTGCAGTGTCCTTCCTCACCACCCTAAGCCACTCTTCTGCTTCTCTCACTCCACTTTCTATAAAAGAAGGCTTCCTGGTGCCACTGGCTGCTTCAGCCATACCACTTTGTCTGTTTTGCCACTGAAAGTGCTTGTCTGCACTTACTATTTTCCTGCACATGTGTCATAGACTCTCTTCCATTCCTTTTCCTCCAAGTTCACTAGGTCATTTATGCTGTGGTCCTTGCTCAAGCCTAGAACTAGTTGCTTCAGTCCACACAGCACAACTTTGACATACCTGAACCTGCTTCTCTTGAAATATTTGTTTGACTTCCATAATACGCTCTTTGTAGTCTTCCCATCACCTATCTGATCATCATCAGTGTATTATTCAAAAGACAGTATACTAATAATTCAAGCTCTGCCTGCTGCTCTTCCCATTCTCCACTTCCTTCTGTGCCTTCCCTTGCAGTAGCCTTAATTGCAGTGACAGCTTAGATTGATTTTTCTGACCTGTTTAGAGTTAGTCTTTGGCTCAATTTCAACAGTAATGAAAAAGATAGTTCTTAATCTTTCTTCTCAAGTCCCTCAGCCCTTTTCTGGAACCCCTGGGCAGCCTGTTTGCTGGGCATCAGAGTGCACAGTTGAGTGTGACACAATTCTTGCAGATGCTTTCTGTATGACATCCCTGAAATATGGCCTTCCCAGTCTATCTGCACAGATGAAACTCTCATTTCATGTCTCAATTACTCCAGTATCTCTCTGTACCCAGTTAATACAATCTTGTGTTCCCACATCCACCCTGGCACTGCAACAATGGCTCTCTGATGCCTTGTTTTGATGCATGTCTCTCTCTTGCCTCTTGGCACCGTTTCTGCTTTTGTGTCTCATCCCACCACAGCAGCATTTCTCATTCATTACTGAACAGCCACCTCCAGCCTCCGCTTGGCCTATGTTCTGCATTTTACTGTCAGCATTTCTGCACTTTCTCCCTCTTGGCTTTCATGTGAAGACCACTTCTCAGAAACACCTGCATTAACCTAAACCCCTCCTTTGGCACCACATGCACGAAAACTCTTCAGCAGAATTAAAGACTGTTTGCAGACTCCTCGCTCTGCCTTGGCCTATCCTGTGGTACCTACTTCCTTTCTTAGGAAACTGGCAATGAATCTGTTTTCTCTTGCTTTATACTCTGTTTGTGAATGTTTTGAGACTGATTTTCTAAATTTGGCCAGCAGTAAGTACAGGGAGTTCTGGTCCCTGATGAGGATTCATAGGCTCTGTGCTAACACCAAGTAATAATTCTTCTGTATAAATTAAATGGGTTCTTTAGCTCCTTTATCCCTTTTTCCAGGCTGCTGATGCCTGTGACTTTAGCTGCCTATAATCCTTGTCTCCTTGCCTTCTAGAGAGCGACAGGACTGCGAGATTGCTCAGGAAATCCAAGTGAAGCTTGTGTTTGAAGCGGAGCAGCGCCGCAGGCAAGAGGAAAAAGATGAGGTAACCTTTAAAGCTGCAGGGATGGCAGGGCTATTTGTAGCAGCCCTTTCAGTGCAGGTATTTCTTGGTCATTAGCCACAGGGTCTGGCTTGCGTGGTGTCATGCCTGGTCTTCACAGATCTCTGCATGCACATAGATTTTGGGGAGTCCTGTTACAGCAATAAGATACAGTCAATCCTTACACTCAAGGGTCACAAGAATTGTTGGTCCAGTGGCCTTGCTAGAGAAGAGGGCAAGTAATACACAAGAAGACAGGTACTACTTTTTGGAGAATCCTAGGTCCTGATTTGTTTGGTGCAAAGACTTCAGCAGAACCCTCAGCCCAGCCATCCATCTCTGGCTTCTCCATTACCTTACTTCATCTTTACATTAGTCTTTCACAGTCTGAACACTGTTGCAGTTTCTTGGTAGCAGATTGTTTTTGTGATTTCAGAATCACAAAACAACATTGCTGCTGTTGCTTGAGAGCAGGCAGTATGGGCTGTCCATGGATTTGAATTGATCACCTTATTGTGTCAGCCTGTCAAATTGGGTGTTCAAGAAAGCCACAGGGTGGAGGAGCACCCGTGTGAGCCTGGAGTGTGGCCCCATTTTGATTACAGATAGTTTCCTGAGAAGTCTGAGTAGTCTTAAGATGCTCAAGAGGCATCTGGTGGAATTTTCTGTATAGCACGATCTTGGATACAATACTGTGTCTCCTGGAAAAGCCTGAAATAAGAATCTGTCCTTACCTGACAGATGCCTCAGTTTGCTTGTGCAAGACCTCATTTTCTTCTTATTCCGTTAACTCCAAGCAAGTACTGAAAGGTTGCCTAAGCAGATGTGGAAGGTTTCCAAGAGAAGCTTGTGGTAACAGGGTAGAAGGAACACTGTGGGCTAAAGGATTTTTGCTGTAAGTGTGACAACCTCTCTGATTTTTATCAGGAAGACAGTCGGGGTACAATACTACTCATGTTGGCTATGGGAGTTGCATCTTTCCTTCCTGCTTTACATAAAAAGCTGCTGGCATGTCAGCAGTCTGACAACAGGTCCTTGCAACTAGTCACACATGAGGGTGCAGTAGCTGCCCAGTGTGTACAATAGCTTTCTAGTATCAGTAGTGGCTAGTAATGTTATGCCAATGCTGTGGTTGAGGCAGATCCAGTCTGGTCTGCGGGGTTTTTAAATGAAGTACTAAGCCTACCTGCTTGTAAGTCCAGTTTGTAAGAAGTGGTTTGTGTGGATTTGCAAGTCCTGAGCTGTCTCAGTCCTGGAGATAATGTGCTTAAGCCCATATATTTATAGACCTACTGTATTTGCTAGAAGACATTAACCTTCTCAGTGGAAGAAAACTGGGGGCGAGGGGAGGTTGGGTTTCTTTCCTTTTTTTTTTTTTATTGGTAAAGAGCCTCTACAGGTTCTGCAAAAAAGTTGTCACTGAGCAGATCTGATCTGAATCCTGAAATAATAGTTTGCACTTGAACGCCAGTTCAGTGTTCTCCAGTGCTGGCTTCTTTGCTCTGCAGGGTGTTGATACTCTTAAGTTTGCATTTCAGTGATGCCGTTCCTGCCTGCAGTGTGCACTTTACATGCATGGCTCTGTAAAGGTCCTGAGGATTAGGGAAGCTTAAAGGAATATAATCCAAAGGGCTAGCATACCCTCCTGCTGCTATCTTCCAGCTTTTCTTCCTCGCTTCAGACTAGTTCCACTGACTCAGCAAGCTTCTGGACCCTGGATGTGCAAACCTTAGGGAGCTGTTTGCTGTTGATGGGCCTTGTTGATCCATTAGTCATCTCAAAGGAAAACCAGTTGGGAAAATTGAGTGCTGTTCTCTTTGATGGCACATCTACCAAAACTGTGATAGATGATATACATCTGCAGTCCTTGCAGCAGTCCTGCCTTGTACCTAGCCTGTTCCTCCTAATGTCCCTTTCGATTTTCTTTCCTTCAGCCTCTGTCTGTCAAACTGATTCATTTCCCTGCCTGGCATCTTACAGTGCCTGTAAATTACAGCCAGTTTGAAGCAAGTTCATGACTTTCTCTGAGACCTTCTTCCAGTCAGAAGTGGCTTCAGCTGTAGACATTCTTTGCCTCTGATTTCCTGGTGTAGTCCAGGGTGAGGTCCAGTGCACTTGTGTGAGTAGGTGTGTGCTTGCTTGACTTTAAAATCCTTGTTGAAGGCCTGAGGTTCCACACACAATTCCTTCTGCCATGCTTTGGCCATTAGAGCTTTGCAGGCTTGTGTGCAAGTGGAACAAGAACCTGCAAGTCTGCCACAGTGCTGGAAGCTCAGTTAGTGGACCTGGGTGAGGTTGGATACTAGTTGCTGAGATGCTCCCTTGTCTCAACTGCTAAGTTGGAACTCATCCAGCCCAGGGATTGAATTTCAGAGTAACCTTGTTTAATTTTTCAGACAGGATTTTTGTAATTGAGTTAAGAATTTGAATAGAAGCATCTGAAGACATATTTTAGGAGGAAACGTGATCTCTGTTTCCTTTCATCTCTGCAGGACATTGCCCGTCTTCTACAACAGAAAGAACTGCAAGAAGAAAAAAAGTGGAAGAAGCACTACTCAGAATCCCAGAGACACACAGGCTATGAAGATAGCTATTATGCAGAAAATGGAGGTATGTTTCTGCTAGATAAGAGAATCAAGATCATGGCAGTATAGGTAAACCTGGTGATCTGGCAACTCTGTTTAGGAGACTTCGCTTATCCTACAGTTCTGCATTCAGCACTGTAGCATTGCATCAGTTTTCAGGGTCAAGATCAGGCTTTTATACAAGAATCAAGAGATATTAAAAAAAAGCCCCAGAAAAACAAAAAACAAACAAACCATAGGACAAAGCAGAGAAGGCAAATTTGTAATTTTCTATGTCCTAGAAGGTGGCCTAAAGCACAGGGTTAGGGTGTGTGTATGTGCAAGCACACATACTCATGCATGTTTTAAAATGGCTTGTGGAAAAAAGACAATAGCTGATAAACCAGTTACTTACGTGTAACCCCACAAGAATTACAAGTGGAACGCCACTTGTACAACCCCCACAAGCAGGGGGAAAATGCAGACACAATTCCGTGCCTGCATTTGAAGAGTAACAGTTTCAAGTGCTCATCTGTGATGCTGGCACAACTGCATAAACGAATAAATGCTCGGTCATGGATCAGCCTTTCAAAACTCCGTTCAGGTATGTATCCAAGCTTTAAAATTAGCACAACTGCTTTGAATGACTTACTGAATAACAAGGTCATCTCCACAGAGTGTCTTTGCTGTGATTATCATCTGGGACTGTACATTGCAGAAAAAATATGACCCACAGTGCTGTATTGCTTTCTCTTGGCCAGCTTTTATAATTGAATACAGACCTTCTTTAAACTGGGAGGAGAGAATCAGGGTATGTTTAATTATGCTGCAATTAGGGATGGCTTTGCTGTGCACTGGTGGTGGTTCTTGTGTTCTTTCTTAAAAAAAAAGTGTGGTGGGGAAAAGATGGGCTGCTTTTAACTAGCAGATTGTGAAGATGAAGATCAGTCCTCTTATTTCTTATTTTAACATCAACGCCATTGGTATCTTATTTTAACATCATTGCTGCTGCTGGTTTTAAATGACTTTTATTTGACCTTATGCAAAATATTTTCATTTCAATTGGGAAGAGGTTCAAGGATGGCCAACAAAACACAAAGCACAAGTGCAAACCAGTAACCAAGTGGAAACTTCATGACCATGTGTACAGAGCTGGGAAAGACTTTGATCTGGGAGTTTTATGGTGAACCCACACTCCAGCTTTTCAGAATTAAATGATTCAAGTCCCTGAAAAAATACAATATAGATAGTAGTGTTGCCATGTGGAGATGGTAGTACAGCATAGATTCTTGTAACAGAAATCAGTTGACAAAAGCCTATGTCTCTTTGAATTGAGACTGTGATGCGGATTTGGATAGCAGGATATCTTGTGGGTCTGAGTCTTTTCTTCCTGCAGTAATCTGTAGTCTTGGAGGTGAGGTAGAAGTTGTTTTGCCTGGCCATTCAATAGTAGTGCTGCTCTTGATCCATGCTCCTTAAAAATAAAAAAGGACTATAGTGGATTTTGGTGCTTGGATTCTACTGGTCTGGAACCTCTTAAATACTTGAGCAGCATTTGATTTGGCTTCAGCATCCTTGATTTGTATTGTCCTCATTATTTGTGAACTTCAACAAAAAAAAGCCTTTTTGTTTGGGTTTTAGTCTGCTCTTGAGACTGAATAAAAATTTCTCCACATCCAGGAAGTAGGTGGATTAGGGCTAGTGCTCCAAAGCAATGTCAGCTCTTAAAAACTGTAAAAATAAACATGAAGAAAGGCAGAGTTCCTCCCTTCCAGAGTGTCTATGCCATGAAAAACATTTCTCAATTTGCTCAGTCACTTGCTGTCTGAAAGAGTAACACCAGGACCTAAAGAGTGTTTACACAGCCCCTGTGGAAGGTGCCATAGAACCTGGTGCCTGCTGAGGAGTTAATCTCCCTGAGATACCCCAAAAGCAAATCTTCTGCTTGGGCTCTCTGGCATAGTTGTGTTACATGTAGCAATCCTTTCCAGTGTAGCTGTGCTTTGCTCTTTCATGATCTCCTCTCTCTGCTGCTGTATTTACTGAGCTTTCCTTAATAACAAAATTAAATTCTTAGACTCCAGTTAATATTGTTCCATATCTGACCCTTGCTTTCAGGCTCTCGTCTCTGTTGTTCAGTAAGTCACATAGATTGTTTTACTGGATATTTTGCTGTAAATCATATGAATGATCTAAAACTGAACAGGAAGAGCAACCAGTTAAGAGTAACCACAGCAGTTGATATTACGGTTCCTAGATTTTAAAAAATACACCTGTTCTGGATAAAAGTCGCACAGATTTGTTTTCAAGGTGGATTTTCTGGAGGCTGTATTTTCGCTGGCTTTGGAAGATTTTTCTGAATAGAATGACTTGAAGGGAACATTCAGATTTGGTAGAGTGGTGGTGTTGGTTTTAGGTTGCAGGGTTGTTGTTTTTTTTTTGTTGCTGTTCCCACCCTGAAACCTAAATGATTGGAGGAAGGCAGAACTGAATGAAGCTTATGTGCAATGAAATCTATTTTAAATATTTTCAGATACTATAAAAAAACACCTTTTCTCATTGAGAAAGAAAGTCTTCTGCTGCTATTTTTTGGGTTTGGTGTTTTTGTGGGTTGTGGGGTTTTTTTTATTTGCTTATTTTTGGGGGTTTGTTTGGGTTTTTTTTGGTGCTGTTTTTTGTTTTTTTTTTTTGCATAGTTCTGTTTCAAATCAGCCCCTGCTTCAAGGCAATTTTTTTCTTCAGAAATACACTTTCATTCCGAAAAGCTGCCATAGAGAAATAATTCACTCGGTGCAATGATTTTTCTTAGCAAATAAGTTGATTGGAAAATAAATCAAACAGGCAGACTGCTGCATCCTCATAGCTGTGTCAGGTTTCTTACTGAAACTAAAAGCAAAGGAAATTTCTACCTGCTTTCTGGAAAGCACAGAGGGGGAAAAGCCCCACCAAGCTGCCGAGTAAGTGGCTTTTCCAGCTATGTTGCTGAAGTCAGGAGCTTGCGTTTTGGGAAGTCTTCTGCTGCCCTTAAATTTCTGTAGCCCTCTCTGCAGTCAGAGACTAAACTTCTATTTAGACAATGAATGTGTGCAGGTAGTGAAACTTGTGTGTCCGCAAGAGATACACGGCAGTCTGTTGTGTCACACACACAGACATCTCCCCATCCGCTTACCTGCATCTTGTACCCTCCTTGCAAGACTTTCTCTGGTGGTTTCAGTATCCTGCAGCAGTGCTGTGCCACCAGATGAGCTTTTCTGCTGGCTATTTTTCAGCCCCAGGGACATTGGTGGAAGTCCTTCATCTCCATATTGGCTTTTCCTTGTCTTGGGATGTGCTCGGACACGCTTTCGGGCTGGACCTGTGCATTCGGCTCCAACTCTGCTGCCTCCTGTGCTGCTTTGCTGATGGCCAGGCTGCAATTTCACTCTGTCCCCCATTATATCTTGGAAGAATTATATCCTTGTTATTCTTCTTTCTGACACCATCATGCTTTGCATGTATTTCGAACTTCTTGCATCAAGCTCCCTCATCTGCATGCTACGAGTCTGGCCTTGCTGAACCGCTATTAACCCTTGCACCACTAACCTGGTCATTATTTGTCCCCCCATTGCTCAGAGCACCTCAGGGGTGACCCCAGAGAGCAGGTTTCTGAGCCTCGCAGGGCACGCGGTGGTGACAGGCACACGCGCTTGCAGAGAGAGCACCGAGGAGCACCCCTGCCTTTGTCCAGCAGTGTGGCCAAACACAGGCATTCCAACTCAGAAGATCATCAGAGGTCTGCTCAACTGAGTGAGGCCAGCAGTGGCCATCGGCAGGAGTGGAAATCAGCCAGCCAAGGCAGGTCCAGGAAACATCCCAGCCCTGACTTGGAAGGAGAGGCTGAGCACAGCACCTATGACCACAGCAATAGCTGGGAGCGGCAGGAGAGGAGGGCAGCCAGCAAGGAGAAGGCTTGGAGACCTCTCAGTCTTGACTTGGAGTCAGATCATAGACTTGCAGACCAGGCATGGCACAGCAGAAAGCCAACAAGGCAAGAGAGAGAAAAGTGCCTTCCTCTTCTTGAGATGGAACTAGAGGCTGAGCAGGAGACTTGGCACTGGGGCAGCAGCCAGCTGGTGCGCCCTGGAAAACAGAAATCACGTCATTGGGGCCATTCGTCGCACAGGATGGTGCATGATGAGAAGCTTCATGATGCTGAATCTAGAGATGATCATAGGAGGGGTGAGGAGAGAGACTACAAAAGGTCAGGACACAGGAGACTTTCCCCCTCCCCACATGCTGTGACCCAGGGGAAGGTTGGATACTGCCAGCGAGACTCAGGTAACCAAGTGATGGGGAAGGTGTACATACATGTGGGGATGGACCTTTGTGTGCCCCATCCTGGTGTCTGAAATCTGTGTTGTTTCCTTTGGAAGAGCTTATGTCTGATATCCACCTGCATTGTGTATGTGGTGAATCCTGCCCAGGGTTCTCCCTTATTTAGTGAGATTCTTTTTATCCATTAATATTCTTGCTCTGTTTATTTCCTGACATGTTCTGTGGCATCAGAGAGGATGAGTAAAAATATATTATTGGAAATGGTGCCCATGGTATCCTGTGTTTAATTAAAAAAAACCTACAAACCAAAACCCCCATAAAAGCAACCAACCAACAACCAGGTGTTTGGGTTTGGGTTCTTTTTTTTGGGAGGGGGAGGTGTTGTGGTTTTCTCCATTATATATTTTGTGCTGTGGTCTTCTTGAACAAAAGAAAAAAATAACAAACCCCCTAATGTTATGGTTGCACTTGTATTTGGTTGATTTGGGGTGCAGGTCTGTAAATTAAGATAGTTTGTTTAAGTACTAACAAGCCAGCAATTTCCATCACTTCTCACAGAAAGCCCTGCTGGCAACATAATTGATTCATTTTGAGCAAAGTTAAGGAGTGGCACTAGGTGTCCAGCTGGGCTCTGTTTATTAGATGGGACTCGTCAAATTCAGTACAAGTGGATTTTTCTGACAAACACGTACTTGTGTAGTTCTTGTTGTCCAGTAACACTTGGGGTTTGATGGGCTTTAAAGGTCCAGATCTGTATTTCTGCTCTTAAAACCCCACTGGAATTGGGGGTGACCCACTTCTTAGTAGAAGTAGGCATTTACTTGGACCTATGTCTGTCTGTGTCATGGGACTCTGTGCTTTAAGCCATCTAACTGGTCTTGGATAAGGTGAGGGTGGTAATGCATGTCTGTCTCTGGAGATGCTGGGAGGATTATTCTTCATCTTGATCATGCAAAATTTTATTGGGGTTAGTGGAAGGAGTTAATTAAGTCTGTACATGTTATCAGTAGGTCATGATTTGCTCTGATACAGTGTAGATCCAAGTAACTCAGTATCCTGTCGCATAGGATTGGAGTCAAAATAGCCAAAAGCTCACATCCGCTTCATGGGGCCTGTGGTTATGGAGTGCTTTGTGTTCCCCTGAGTGTGGGCAGAAGTGATGTGCAAGTAACATTTATTGTTGTCTTCTGAACAAAAAAAGCCTGGCACCAATCAGTGTGTGAAGGCTCAGCCTCAGGCTGGCCGGCAGACAATTCCTGGAAATTTTTGTTCTTCATAGAGTTAATGCTGTACAGGAGCCTGTTGGCCACATTGCTTTTTGTTCCAGCATGTAAAACTGTGTTTGCCTTGACCTTGAATAATTTAACTCTAACCAAGCTGGTGCATTTTGCCAGAGTTTCTGTGCTGGCTATGGTCTGCAGCTCTTCACAGCTTTGATTGATCGAAGTATGCTAGGAGAGGCCAAGTCATATTCTTAAACATGCCAGAGCTGAAGTTTTCTTATGCTAAGGTGATTTGTAAGAGGGGTGTTAATTGGTTGAGGTAATTAATCAGTTCATTCAAACAAAACAAAAAGTAGAAAACCCCACAAGCCTTCCTTACTACACATAGAAGAGGTGGTTTCCTATTCCATGGTTTTATTCTGGGTTGATGCATGAGGTCTCTGGCCTACTGCAGTTTGAAGTCATTGGGATGCTTGGTGGAGTATGATGGTAGTTTGTTGGTAGATGCACAGAATATTTTTTGAAATCAGTTGGCTACCTTATGTTATGCCACTTGGTTTTAAAAGATTGGAAGGAAAAAATTTTCTGGGTTTGAGGTGAAAGAGATACAGGGGTCTGGAGTACATACTTCGGACACAAAGCAGAAAGCTCATTTAGATGTCTGAGATGTCTGAATAATACAGTTCAGACTGCAAATGGAAGGAGAAGGCATTCATTGTATGTGAGTGAAGTTATACATTTTATAACAGGGTTACAGTGAGACTCCTTTGGCCTGGTGCAAATAGACTATGGAGAGACTCTCAAAATACATTTTAGATCATTTGGAGATGGCTTAACTTTAAAATAAACAAATAAAACTGAGCTCAAAGCACTAACTGAACCTTGTATGAACTTCAGAAGTGTTTACTTGGCTGTTTTCTCACTAAATTGTAAAATTCATGGGTCACCTTAATGAAGAAATTGTCTGTAACCTTATGTGAGCCTGTCCCAGGCAACTTTGGCAGCCCATGCCACTTCCATCAGTGTGTTCCCAGATTCTGCTGTGCTCATAACAGATGTTGAGCTGCTCTCTGCTGCCAGGTTTTACCAGTGTATCTGTATCAGTGTATCTGCAGAGTGTGAAAAATTACAATTCTTTTGCTAGGATCACTGGGTCAACAGAGACTGCTTCAAATTACATGGCCTCTTCTGCTATCTAGTTGCATTTGTCATACAGGACATGGTGTATCAGATATTTCTGTATGCATAGAGGAACCTCCCAAAGGTGCATGCTGCACCTCAGCTAAAGGTACTCTCAAATCAGCTGCCTGGAAGGTATGCTGTCATGGTCTCTGGTTCCCTTGAATGGGGCTTTTGCAAGTGGCTCAGGAAATGCTGGGAATTTCCTTACCGAAGCATGTGGAAAATGGTTGAGTTGATTGGTTTCTCTCTCAATTCTGTAGGCAGTAAGTTGAGGGGGACGAAGCAAGCCATGTATGATACACCCCAAAGGGAACAGGAGTTGTCTGATGCAGAAATTGCTCGGAAGCTGCAGGAGGAAGAGCTCCTGGTAAGTAGAGAGGATGCTTTAGTGAACTCGAAGGAACTAAGATAGCCAGTGATGACAACTTTCATTTGTAAACTTGTGACTTTAAGACCTAAAGTCTTGTTACTGTTCATTCCAGTATCTGAAGGGGGCCTATAGGGATGCTGGAGAGGGACTCTAATGAAGAGACTGTAGTGACAGGACAAGGGGTAATGGGTTAAAACTTAAACAGGGGAAGTTTAGATCGGATATAAGGAGGAAATTCTTTCCTGTTAGGGTGGTGAGGCACTGGAATGGGTTGCCCAGGGAAGCTGTGAATGCTCCATTCCTGGCGGTGTTCAAGACCAGGTTGGACAAGGCTTTGGGTGATACGATTTAGCGTAAGGTGTCCCTGCCCACGGCAGGGGGGGTGGAACTAGATGATCTTAAGGTCCTTTCCAACCCTAACTATTCTATGGTTCTATGATTCTGGTAATTAAGTTTTGTCTCCCATACACACATATATGGAGTGACAGTTGGCATCTGGCCAGCAGAGCCTTATTTTCTGAAATAAATACCCTAAAATTAAATAATTAAAGCAGAGTGATATTAAATGGACATTTCCAGGTAGGTAATAAGGCCTTTACTCGGTGTGGTCAACCCAGAAGTGAAGCAGACCAGTGCCCATCTTTGAGAGAAAGGGGGCAACAGGATGGGCAAAGTGTTGTGCTGTGGCCTGGCAGATAGATGAGGACAAAACTCAGCTGAAAAGCTGAAATGACAGTTTGGTGTTGGGTTGGAGGCAAGTATTGAGGTAGCTAAATAAATTCAGAGACAATGGTAGCGTATTTGTTTGGGTACCTGCTTGCCCTGCCTACATAAGTTAATGAGTATGAATAAATCAGAAGCGTTACTCTTTTGTCCCTTTGTCTCTTTTTTTATCTCCCCTCCACCCACTTTTTCTTTTTTCCACAGGCTGATGAGGCAGATCAGAAGGCAGCTCAAGTAGCCCAAGATGAGGTGAGTAAAGTTAAATGTGTGCAGTATTCCTTTACTTGTGAAAACTAGAAAACACCACTTACCTCCTCTGACCTTCTACTTGTTCATTTCTCTCCTTGTTGGGGAAGCTCAGGACTCCCTTGGGGTTTGCTCCTGGCTAGTTATCCTGTATATGCTCAGGCTGGTCAAGGAGGAATTTGTGCTACCTGTTGCAACTGTGGCAGAGGAAGTAAGTTCATGGCTTTGTAAGAGCATCTCTTGTAACTGCGCCTAAAAGGAGACTGTCAGAGATGCTACAAGGTTAAACACACACACACATATCTCCATTGAAAGGAAAGGAGTAAAGGGCAGGAAGGCTTTGCAAACACAGTTCTGACAAATTAGGAATCCAGTGGGCATGCTGCATGTAGTCAGTCTTAATTCTGCCCTCTCACTTGATTTCTGATCACGGATGGAATCCTGGCTTTGCACCCTTCTCATTCAGCAGCTGTCTATTGGAAAGGGTTTAAATAACTCAAACCCACAAGAGCAGTAAAACTGTCTGACACATTCTCTGTATTTTCCCTTCTAGGAAATTGCCCGACTCTTGATGGCTGAGGAGAAAAAGGCTTTCAAGAAAGGGAGGGAGAGAGAAAAGTCTTCCTTTGAAAGGAGGAGGCATGATCAAGACTGGAAGGTATGTCAAGCTTCAGGAGGTGCCACAAATGAAGTGCTATAAAGTTATTCCCCTTTCCAGAGGGAGACGTGAGGGTGTGTGGTGAGAGCAAAAGGAATGATGCAGAGTGTCTTACTGCCTGTTGTTCAGCTGCCTCCCAAACCTTTTGGAGCCACCTGCTTGGCTAGATGCTCTTTTACTTCAGCCTCAAGCAGGGTAAACTGTGGGCTATGGCCTTGGAGAATGGTGCTAGATGTCACAGCACCTTGTGGCCTCCCTCAAATAGTCAGTCCTGGTATGGGGCGTTACTTCTGCTGAAATCCTGGCTGCGGCACTAAAACCAGTAGTTTGTTCTGCTTGTGCGCTGCAGGTATTAAGGACAGTGCAGCTGCTCCAGTTGTCACTCTGATTCATAATCAAATTGGCCCTATAATGAAAGTACTGAGTGTATCCAGCCTAGATTTTTGTATGAGTAATATTACAGAGGCTTGGCGAGCCAGTGTGGAAGGTGACAGGAAACAGATCTCACAGTCTGCACTGGTTAGGTGCTAAAGAGGGTGTTGTGTTAATCATGGTGGCCAATTGGAAGTAGCTCTGATGTTTTCAGCCTCCTTACTGTGTTTGAGTGGTTGCAGGAGCACAGCTGCATACATCTGGTCCCTTGTGCTCAGCCCAGCCGTGTGCATAGTCATTACACACTGACTGCATTAGTCCTGATACTGCTGTTTGCACGTGTCTGGCTGTAGTTAGTTGTGTGTATAAACTGAGCACAGGACTGAGTGGAGCTCTGGCAGCCTCAGTGTACTGGCTGCTGTCTTGTAAAGCACTCAGATGAGCTTCTTTCTCCTCTTCTTCCCATTAGCATGATGCAAGTGAGTCCACACGTTCAAGGTCAAAAGAAGGACCTGAAACTCAGCGACACAAAGGTGAAAGATCTTCAAGGTGAGACTGAACTGGCTGGCATAAATGGGGAAATGCAGGCAGAAGCTGAGTCCTAGGGAAGAGTTGTAGGGCCATCAGCCTTGACCCACTCACAAAGAGCTTGGTAGAGAACAGAGGTTTTGGCGCTGAAATGAGCTGGAGGGCACAAGGCTTCTAAGGTGTTCAGTGACATGAGTCACTCACTGTGCTTGTGGCATTTGTCCATATTGGTCTCCCTGTCTGGCACTGACGGAGATTGATGAGCTTGTGCAGTGACATTTGTTAAATGGCAGAGAAACATTGAGAGGGTTAAAGAGCTTCTGTGGGTGTGAAACCAAATGTCATCTCTGGGCATGGAGTAGTATTCATGATGCATTTGCACAGCTGCTCCCTTGGGTCCTCACTCCCAGTTAAGCTCTGTACGCTGCTGCCACTGCTGCATGTGGATACCCCACAGCAAGCAAGCATGTTCTGCTTTGGGATACCTCATCCTAAAGCTGATGGGAATGTGCTGTAGCTGAATTAATTGGTTCCCTGGTCTGGTGCTCTTCATGAGGGATTGAACCCTGAAAGTGACCCTGGTGGCTTTGATTTCCAGTCCAGATATGAGCCTAGAAATTCTTGTTGAATTTGCAAAAGAAACAGCAAATGAGGTTTGCAGGTGAAGGCTGAGGGAGATCGTATTAAAATACTCTGGTGTTAAAACGGGTCAAGCATTAAAGACTTTAAAACTGTGTAGTTTTGATTAAGGTTTGCAACCGACTTCGTAATGGAAGTTTTTTGTTTCCTGACAACTTAAAGCCGCCCGTGAGAAGGAGTAAACACTGTGCCTTTCTCACCACAGAAAACAGTAACAAGCCGTGCCCAGAGGAGCTGGTCTGCAGGTGGGAAATCCGGGCCAGAGACTGTATCAAAGTGACCAGGCAGCTGAGATGTTGGTTTTGACACACTGTTACGCCTTTGAGTTTTTTTCCCAGCGCTTCTTTTTCACTGTGTTTGGCAGGTCACAGCCTCTCCACGATGACTTTGAACGTGCTCGGTATTACACAAGCCAGCCCAGCCCTATGCGCCAGATCCCCAAACCTGAGCACTCTCCTAAAGGTAGGATCAAGCCCATGGTTGCCCCAGCACTTGGGTTACTGTGGGCTGTTTTCCTCAAATGAGCAGCCTGAACGACAGGATGTTTGAAAGATACTAAGAGAGAAAAGGAATGGATATTATTGCCCCCAGCAGGCAGGTGATGCTAGTCAGTGGCAGAGTTGTACTTGCTGAGAACACTGCAGGCTGAGAGACTAAAAAGTTGACTTGGTTTGCCTTGAGTTTTCCAAATTGCTCTCTGCATGTTCTCTGTGATCTCTTAATGATGAATGACTATAAATCCAGGCAGCAAATAACATGAAGACAATGATGAGATGGATTTTAGGTGACTCATTACTATCAAACAATTCAATAAGACAAAATCTCTCAATATCACCTGTCTGGTGAGCAGATGGGATGATTAGACAGAAGCTTGTCCTGAGAACATGCTCTTTTGTTCCCACAGCATCTCAGCGCTGCATTGTTGGCTTGTTTCCTAAAATCACTTGGCATAAGAGCCCCCACATTTCTTTAAACCTGAATGTTAATTGTCTGAGTTATTTATAGAATCTCTGGGGAAGGAAAGGGGCAGCCAGAGTTTGAGTCAATCTCCCAGATTTCTTCCAGCTGCACTGATTGTGACTTAAATGTGGACACTTCCAAAAATTTAAAGTTTGGGAAACTTTTGTGTTCTGTGTCCATCAAACAAGCATGAAAGTTGATGGCACTTTTATAAAGTCTGTAAGCTGAGTGCTCATTCAGTTTTCCTTAGTGAGACTATGCGATGTGGCTGCAGCACTGTTCACAACCTAGAAGAAATGCAAATGTCTGCCTGTCTTGTGGACCTATCCTTTTTTTGTTTTGTTTGGGTAAATGTAACATGTTTCCCATTTTGTCATTTGACTTTACCAGTACCCTGGAAGTCACACAGATACCCAAGAGGGCAGGCCAGGTAGAAGATGCCTGTAGGTAGTGTTTTTTTCACCAGGATCTAACCTTACAGATTTTATTTTTTTATTTTTTTTCTTTCTTTCTGTTTTGCTTTCCAGGTTCCCGTAGGAAGCAGTAAACTGTGCTAGCCTTTGCTTTGGTACCGACTCTTCTGTAGCAGACATTACTGGAATTGCCAGGCAACTTTCTCAATTCCTTACCCAATGGAAGGTCCACCCGCTACTCCCAGGATGTCCTCTTGAAGTGTCATCATAATAAGGAACTTTGTTTGTTTCAATTTCTTACTCATATGTGATGAATTAAGCAGTGCAGTATAATCTAGCCACCACTGAGCTGTGTGCATCAACTAGCTGACTTAACAGCTCCCCATTACATTATTTTGAGGCTTTCCTTTTATTTTTATTTTTAAGCTTTGTCTGGAGCTTTGACAAATAGAGATGCAGTTACAACAGGGAGAAAAATCAAAAAAATTAGTTTGATTATGGTAATGCATCACAACGTCAGAACTGCAAGTTCTTTCCATATTGGGATGACTTGGCAAAGAGAGTTATAAGAGGAGATATCTTTCTTCCTGTGCTGGGTAAGATAGCTGAGCCAACCTGACAGTCATGCTTGGAGGAAGAAGAGAGCATCTTCATAATGTGCATCAGCAAAAGCCAGAACCTGGGACTGGTGAGGAAGAAATTGCCTATGAAATAAAATTTAACTGCTGTATTTCTTTCTAGGGTTTACAGCAACCTGGGTAGAGTAACTAGGCATTTAGCTCCAGGGTATAGGATAGAACAATTGAAAGACAATTTCAGTGGAAGTTAGACCTTGTGTGCACAACTCTTAAGATATACCAGGGAGCTGATGAAGCTGCAATTTGTGGATTGGGAAGAATCATACAGATTTAAATGCCTGAAGGGACCTCTATGGTCACCTGCTTTGAGGTTTCGTGTGATAGCCAAGGAATTTCACTGAAGCCAAGTAGGAACTACTGCAACTCCTAGCTTAGTTGCTGATGCACTTGCGTACAGTAACTTGTGTTTGAATCTACATATATCTTGGATTCTTGGGGCTGAAGGAGGGCCATATGGGCATTGACACTGAATCAGAAATCCACAACTACAGGCAACTTTGAGCTAGATGTAGAGTGCTGAACAGTCCACACAATATCTGTGCTGACTGCCTCACCTCTGCATAGCTCTGTAGATTCCTATCAAGATAAAACTATCGCTGTCTAAGGCACAGCAGGATCTGCAAGCTGTCTGTGTAAAATGCCCAGGACTTTGTGCATTGGCAGCATCCTGCTAGCTGCATATCCTTGCTTCCAGACTGTGAGCTTGCTCACCTGCATCATTTAGAAGGTCTTGCTTGCTTGCAGCTTCTTCTCAGGAAATACTCCAGCTAGCGGCTAGATTTTTACTGTGCTTTCCTTGTTCCCTCTTCTTGTTCCATCTGTCCATTCACAAGTGTTAATGTTGTTTTAAAGGACCCAGAAAAGGGTCAACACAGTCCCTAGTTTTAACTTTTCATTTGATAACTTGGGCCACTGTGGCACCCTCATCTGCAAAGAGTTTATTTCGTAAAAATTTATTTTTATATTTCATGTAGCAGTCAAGATTCCTACTGCTGAAAATGCCATTATTTTTTTCCTGTGAGTTTTTCCCCTCCATTGCCATCAGAGTATTCATTGTAGTGAAATGGATGCCTGGTGGGGTTTCGTGAGCTACCTCCCCACTCAAGGCCTTTCTGCTTGTATCATCTGGTGCACTTGTGAAAAGTGGATGGGGAAAAGTCCTGCCAAATCAGAAAGTGGCTGTGCTTTATACTTAATATGCATGGGGTGACCCTCTGCAAAAGGAAAGGGAAATTGTCAACTAGGAATTCAGCCTTTCCTGGGGCTCTGTAGGTGGCTGTGACGGGCTTTCTTGCAATGCAGTTGTCATGTAATTTCTGTTTTACCCTAATTAGAACAGTTTTGAAGGCTCTGAGCCTGCTGACATTTGAAGAAGCTGTTAATTCAGGAGGGATGTTTGGGAGTATCCAAGTTGTTGACTTCAGTGAGAGCGAGAGGGAATGATACAAGAGGAAACTCTGGTTAATTTTATTTGCCTGAAGAGCACCTCTGTGTCTACTCTGTGGAGCTGTAAGATCTCCTTAATGGCCTCCTCAGGCTGTGGCACCAAGAAATGAGAGGCAGAGTGAAGGATCCCAGGAGCATTTGCTGCTTCAAATGGATGCCTTCAGGGAGTGCTGAATACTTTATGGGGTGCTTTGCTTCATAGCCTCCCATAGTCCTTATCTTTTTATTTTTACTCCCTATCTTTATTCATCTGCTGCCCCTTGTAAGTGTTTCTTCTGTTTTATTTTTCTATAGCCCTTGTGAAAACAGGGGCCTAAGGTTTTGTTAGAAGGGGCTAACACCTATCCAGAGAGAGAAATGCTAGGCATGGTAGATGAGGAAAGCATGTAATAAATGGGGTATAAACAGAACAATTGTTCATCTAGTATACCTTGTGGGCCTTATGTGGTCATGCAGGTTAGAGATTTCCTCACGTAAAGGTTACAAAGGACTTGCATGCTTAATAACCATATTTGGAAGGGATATTCATTCCATGGTCCCACTGAAGTCAGCAGGAGTTGAGTTCAGTTCATGGATGAACAAGGAGCCAACACATCTTGGGGCTCAGCAGCCACAGTTCTGCAGCTTACCTAGGCAAGATGCAAAATCAGAACCTTGCATGTGCGTCCCTGGAAAGAGGCACAATGAAGCTGATCTTTTAAAAAGAAACAATTGGAGCAATATTTCCTTTCTATGACAGAAAAATGTTTAACCTTTTTTTTTCCTTGTCTTCTGCCAAGTTTTAGTAGCTCTGCCTATGGGTTTGCTCTGGATTTAATAACATGTCAAAGCCCTTGCTTGGACCCCTACCCAGGTCATTCGTATCTTGTATCCCTTTCTGACTCTGCATTAACAATGCAATAGGCATCATGTGGAAAATTCATCACCATGAAATCCTGGCACTTCTTAATCTTCATAGTAGGCACATCTCACCAGCAAGAGCTCTCGCCACCTCTTCACCTCCGTCCAAAAGCACAATGGTCTGCAGAAGAGAGGTTGGGTGAACCAGAGTGATTGTGCCTTATATGCAGGGATACTCAATGTCTTCAGCAGGCTGATCTGAGTCACCTTGCTATGAAACACTGTCTTAATGTGGACTGTACAGCTTCCTGCAGGGAGAAGCAGTTGTTGTCACATGATAGATCCAACAGGTTAATCTTGTCTTTTTTTTAAAGACTTCATGTTTTTGAGCTTAGTGGGGTGGGAAAATATCAGCTGTTAGGGGACAGATGAAGTCTAATCATTGAAATTATCTTGGGGAGGAAGAATAGAAGTTACAAATGCGGCAGTCTGCTTCGCTCTCTAAAAGGGATCTTGTATGTACAGTATTTTTATATCTCTGCATTCCCACTGGTCAGGATTTGAATCAGGACTAATAACACTCTTATGTAGGGAAAAAAAGTGGATTTTTGTTTTTACAGTGCTAGATCTTTGTGCATTTTTATTTTGTGCCAAAATACAGTCACTGTTACATTCTAGTGTTTTCATTCAGTTTATTGTTATTGATCAATGTGTATATTATGTATTTTTATTATCAAGATTTTTATTTTAATTCATACTAACTTGTATGCAAACTAACTGTGGATTGCTTATTTATATATAAAGGGGAGCACTTGGAGACAGTGTGAGGATTCCCCTACTTAGTTTATACTCTCATAACCTAGCACAGCGAGTCCATGAAACTCATTGCTTCTTACGCAGAATGATATCCTGCACATGTATCACCCTGAGCTGATGGCTCCTGCTGTTCATAATGGTAGCACTGATGCTGCAAGGATATGTTAGATGCGATAGGAAACAAAACACAGTTCATAGCATGGACTGGTGGGTGACTGGCCTCTGTGCTGTCCTGCTCCTGGCAGTGATGCCAGGGAGGGTGCTGCAGCAGGAATTCCCATCTGAGCATGACTTTGAGGTTTTACTCTGCCCTATATCCATCCCCAGCCAATGGACAGTTGGTTTTGCCCTACTCTCTCAAAACACTTAGTGCTTGGTTTTGTAGTTGTTCTGGGAGGTGGCTGTGAGATACAGCATGAGGCACAGCGGTACCCCTCTCATGAAGTATACCACAGGCAGTTTGTCTTTTTTGGCTGGGAAGGACAGGCGTAAACCTACAGAGATCTCAGTTTACTGTGCTCTTTAAAGCATGCTGTAGCACATCTCTGGCTGTGCAGCACAGTCATGGAGGCTTTTAACTGTGCAGCATGCAAGTGCCACCTGGACTCTTGTACCCAGTACAGGCTGCAGGACACAGGTTTTGTGTTGAGAAGCTGCACTCTCAGCTTCAGACCGGAGGTAGAATGAGCCACCTCCTCCCTGTGAGCTACACTAGACAAGGCTCAGCTGTGCCTTTTGGGCTCTTCCAGGAGAGGCTCAGAGTGGACAGTAGCACACACAAATAAGTATTTTCTACTTCACAGTAAGTTCCACTGTATCAGTGTTCACTCTAAGTAGACTCCATGGTCTGTCTCCAGCTGCATCTGTGCACTGCAATATAGTTAATTGCCTCAGAGAAATAACTGCAGTTGTCTCTTTTAACTTTTCAGGGTAAACTTTCAGCCTGTTGAATCTAAATATTAGCCGTGCAATGAGATGGATTAGTCAGAAGGCTTAAATTCCTCAGAGCTGCAAATGTACCCTGTGTTGCAACAGCTAATCCTTAAATATAAATTGTGCACTGACAATAATCTGTCTATGCAAGCCTATTTTTTTTTCTTATTTTTGACTGTTTACTCTATCATTTTACCAGGTTTGGCATAGAACTTCTGAATGACATTTAACCAAAGTATCATGTCTGTGTGTGCATAGCATGTTTTGCTTCATACTCCTGAATTCTCATTGAATGTAAAGGGAACACTGCCTTGCCCCATTTCATTCAATAAACCACTGTACTTTGTTATCCACTGCATCTTTCTGTCCCTCCATGTGCTTTTCTGGAACCACTGAAGTGGGTTACACAAGAGCAGGAGAAAATAACACTTCGTTCCACCCTTGGCTGCTGGAGCTCAGCTGCTTCTACCAGTAATTATGTTCTTCCAATGTAATAGATGTAGCAAAACAATAAATTTATATTAAATGTGATTATTTTATGGCCAGACAGATGGAAAAAAAAAAAAAGGCAAGCTGTGTAATATCTTGGAAGGGATCTGGACTGTTTCATTTCCTGAGACTGTGATACTGAAAAATAAAGCAGTGTAATTATTTGCAAGGACAAGGTACTTTTTTCCTTTTCTGTCAACATAGCTTTTAAGTTTGAAAAGAGCCTGCTTGAAGCTTCATACAGTGGTGGGATGGAAGGCAGGAAAGGAACATGTCAAACGCCCTGTGACCAACTGATGTCTTCAAAGGCATCAGCTGGGGGTGCAGACACATACAGCTCAGACATGAGTAGGCACAAAGCCATTTCCATGTCATGAATTGAGTTTGTGACTGAGTATGCTAAAATAAAGGGCAGGTTAAAAAGTATAAACTCTGGACTTCGAGTGCAAACTGTAAACCATTCTTTAATGTGTATTTACTCATTTCCCTCTGTTTGTCAAGTATAAACATTGCACTGGGGAGCAGAGAGCCCTTTCACACCCTAACAGAGGTGTACCACTCTGTTCCTACATGGGCCAGGGGCTTTCCTTCACCAGGGGCTTAGTTCTGTGCAGGAGTGAGGGTTCTGGCACAAAGTTCAACTTTGGGCTTTATTGGGGTCAAAGCACTACCCCAGTATTTTCAAATGCAGACACCTTTACATTGCCTACCTCCTACCACCTCCGTCTCAGAGTCCCTTAGGTATTAGCAGTGAGTGGATGCAGGGACCAGCAAACAGGAAATTAAAAATACTAGGACATGGCTATCATTGGAAGAGCCTGACTGTAGAAACAGGGCATGTGGAAGTGCCAAGAGCTCTGCCAACTTACAACTTTCTACAGCCTCTTGTCTGAAGTGACTGGCTTGGTCTGTTTCCTGTGAAAGGCTTCTTTTATGCCAGCTTTAGCACTTGTTGAAGAATTAGGCTGGGAGGGGGGGAGAGGGAGGGCAGCTGGAGCCCTGAGAAGCATCTTTCACCTGCTGCAGGGATATGCGCATAGAGGACTGTATGTGGGAACTGCAAAAGGAATTCTGAAGAACACTGGGACCTTTTTTTATACCAGAGAAATTCTCATCTCTGGTTTTCCAAGTCACATGCAGCTCTCAAAGTGGATGTAGGTGGCAGTCCTTTGTGCTGTTGGTGATGGATCAAGGTTCCATAGCTATCTTCCACCTGTGAGAGAAGGTAAATCAGTGGACAGTGCTTCAAGTCACCATTGCTGGGTACCCAGCAGCCTAAGCTGCTTCATATGCACTGCTATGTAGGAGTTGCAGGCGGCACCTGCCATTTCCTGCTTCTATGCATGCTCAGATGCTCATCTTCCACCTAGATCTGTGCTGTATAGGATCTCTTGCCCACAAAGGCTTCAGTGTGTGCTGCTCATGGCCTGGGAGGGTTGAGTCCTGCTTACAGGCTGTCTGTGGAAGGAGCTGCAGGGCTGAAGGTTCTCAGGGTAAATGTCTTTCCATATCCAGGTGGACAGCCAGGGCTAACCTGAGCTGTGGTGTGCTGGCTCATGCTTTATATTAGGAGTGGATGCTGGTGGGTGACATACCTGAAACTGATGCTCCCCTTGTTCACAAGGCAAACCGCAGCTGCAAAGCAATTCAAAGGCTAAACAAGGCATCATATCTGAGACACAAATGACTTGGTGTAGTATACATGATATGTATGTACCGTTCCCAATTTATTTTCTGGACACAGCATGCCTGGAGGTAGAGAACATCTCTGCCATGTAAAACCCCGGTTTATGCCTGAACCTACGCAATCTCAATATTGAGCAAAACCAGCCCCCACAAACCGCTTCTTTGCACAAATCTGCTAGCAAAGAAGGGATGGCTCCTGGCATGTATCAGTTATTTCAGGTCAGAGTTACACATGTTCATCGCCATGATTAGTTCTTTCAGAGATGATGATCCTTCAGCAGCACCCTGGGTCCATCAGTTTTATCATACTTCACTCTGGCTAGAATGCCTGACACAGTTAATAGCAAAACAGAGGTTTAGTAAGTAAGACCTAGGATCAGACTGCCGTCCAAGTTTAAAACAAGTACAGAACTTGAGCGGCAGCTGGGTATCTGTTGAATGTGCTTCTCTGACCCCAGAAAGCCAAGAAGAGTATCTGAGTGTCTGTGCCAGTACTTGCTCCTGTTTCATGTTGTTGATGGTGAGCTGCAGCTCTCAGCACTGACATCTCAATTTTCATGAAGTCTCTTTTCCCCTGGTGAAGCTTTTGATTACTAATAGTTCCCCTGTCCTGTCCTGCCCTGTACCCCCCAAACAGACATCCTAATGCCATCTCAGTGACTCACTTCATGGTCCTTCAAGGCCAGGCTTCAAACAGACACCACTAACCCCAAGCTGGTGCTGAGGCTCCTGGACTACCACATGATTTGAATGGCGTCTCATTTTTATTAAAACGTGGTTGATGTGCAGCACCTAATTATGAGCTAAAGAAATATGTGCTTGTCTCACTAATAGGATTCATACTCAGGTGAGTACCTCAGAAGCACATGGATGTCATGGGCAAAGCATGAGCTGGGATGGGCACTTACCCAATGTGTGTTCCACATTGCTGCCTTCTAGGCAGTGTCCAGAAGCAGCAAGATGGCCATGCATGTGCCTATCACCAGAGGGTACTTGGGGAGCATGAGCTTTGTTCCATTGATGCTGGAAAAGAGCTGATTTATAGTTTAAGCAGTACCTGGCGTAACAGTTGGAGTGCTACTGGGGAAGGTGGTGTCTGGGGAGAGGATGAGATGTCCAGCTACACAAAGTTTATTCCCACTACTGGTACTCACTGTCAGCTGCCATATCACACACTGTCCTGAGAAGTTGTGCTCAGCCTTCTAAAGGACGCAAGCACTCACTTGTGTGTTTTTATTTACTTGTTAATTACTCACAGCTGACTAACTGCTGAAGGCCAGCCTGAGGGTGTATGTTAATGTCCAGGAACATTCCTACCATAAGGTGTGCAAGTAGGTCTGCAGAAAGAGATTGCTTGCCATCTCCTCTCCAAAGGCAAAGGGTACCATCAGGAAAAAGGGTTTCTCAGAGAGTTTTCTCATCTGCTAGCAAACCCAGCGAGCTTGTCCTACTGGAAAGGCCCTCAACTGCAGGAGTCCTGTGTACAGACAGGACTGGCGCTGTAGCCACAGGGAGCTTGGGAGAGTCTTTTCAGAGCATCTCACAGGAGAAGATGTATCATTGCAGCACCTGAGGCATAGAGGAGCACACAGATGCTACAAGCATGGCCATGACTGCAGATGTGACAGCAGCTGTGTCCTGTTGACATCCCCATGGGATAAGAGGGACGAAGAGCAGCAGTACAGGCAGCTGGTATACGCCGGTCCCTGTTTGTCAGGGAGAAGTGTAATCCCCCAACAGCAGCAGAAGACCAGGTCTTCCTGGTGCTTGCTCCTGTGGGAACCTAAGTCAGCTGTCCGGATGCTAAGAAGTTTAACTGCTTTGCAAAGGTGCAAGATAATGATTGCTTGCTTCACCCCTAAGGATACTGAAACAGCCAACCAAAGCTAATGCCTCCCAGCCTTGCTGTTCTCAGACTTCTCACATGAGTGGCCCTAACTCAGTTTTGGTGCTAGCTGAGGTGTGCAATGCCACCCCTTCTGGTGAGAAATCTTTTCCCTAAAATATCTCTAACAATGGATGGGTGAAATACTTGTCAGTTTGCCTACCCCTTCTACCCAGCTCTCCTTTGAGAAATGAAGAGCAAATTAAAAATAAAGTCTTTAAAATAAGTTTGTATTAATAAATATAAACTTTATAATCTTGGGAAATAGTGAAGGTGGAAAATGACTTTGTTTTCCTTTTAAGTGAGCTTTTTGCCCCAGTGACAGTTTGCGCGTTGCCTCCTGAGCCCGGGGACGCTCCAGAGCAACCCGTTTGATACCATGGCGCTCTCTAGTGGCCAGAGCACAGAAAAGAAAAGCGCTGTGCAGCTCTTCGGTGGCGGAGTTAAGAGCTGCATCTCCGGGCAGACCCGGGGTTTCGGAGTGCTGACACCCCCCGCAGACAGCAGCGAAGTTGTAGGCTCCCCTCTCGCAGATGTGCCTTCTTCATGCACCGGATCAGGCCACAGGAGCAACAGGTAAGAGCAGTTTACAGTCCTACCTGCTACATGTCCCAGTGGAGAAACCGCATACATCTGCAACAGATGTATTGATGAGGAGAAGGACTTCGGGATGTTGAAGCTCAACATGACCCTGCTTCAGGGTGCGCTCAGAGCCTAGGAAGCCACCCGTGTGCTGGGCTGCATCAAAAGGAGCATGACCAGCAGATAGAGGGAGGTGATTCTCCCCCCTTACTCCATTCTCATGAGACCAGCCCCTGCAGAACTGCATTCAGCTGTGGGACCTCAACATAAGAAGGATGTGGAGCTATTGCAGCAAGTCCAGAGGAGCCACAAAGATGCTCAGAAGGCTGGAGCACCTCTACAATGGAGACAGGCTCAGAGAGCAGGAGCTGTTCAGCCTGAAGAAGAAAAGGCTTAAAGGAGACCTTATAGCAGCTTCTAGTGCCTAAATGGGCTGGCAAGAAAGCTGGAGAGGGGCTTTTTAAAAAGTAACTTACTGATAAGACAAGGGAGTATGGCTTTGAAGTGAAAGATGGGAGATTTAGGTTAGACATTAAGAAGAAATTCTTCCCTGTGAGGGTGGTGAGGCACTGGCACAGGTTACCCAGAAAAGATGTGGCTGCCCCATTCCTGGCAATGTTCAAGGCCAGGCTGGATGGGCTTGGAGCAACCTGGGCTAGTGGAAGGTGTCCCTGTCTGTGGTAGGAGGGTTGGAACTAGATGGTCTTTAAGGTCCCCTCCCACCCAAACCGTTCTATGATTCTATGGTGCTTCAGTCCTGCAAAGCCCTCAGGGTGAATAAGTACAAATGGGCTGTATTAGATGAAGCCATTTCAAGCTCTCCAGAAGTCAAAACAATTTCTGGATTGAGCATCACTTTATACAACTAGATGGGGTCACTCACAGCTGTATCGTCACAGACAGATCTCACAGTTTGTCTCCCTCCTTTCAGCACACTGCAGCTGGGAACTGACAGCAGTAGATTGGCCAAGGGCCTTTGGAAGCCTCAATTTTTTTTATCTCATTTGGCAGCAGGG